GTGTGTGTGTATGTGTGTATGTGTGTGAGTGTGTGTGTGTGTGTGTGTGTGTGTGTGAGTGTTTGTTTGGTCTCCCGAAGAGAAAACACAGCATTAATGAACTGTTCAACTGTTTGTTACCGCGATCTTCTTTGTTCCTACTTGTTTCAAGGGAGCTTACAGCGTTTATTGTTTTAATGTTCTTTTTTACCCCCCATGATTTGCTGTCTATTTCATTGTTTTTTTTGTGGCTTTCACGGACATGACGAATTATGGAAATCTCAAACACTATTTTCATTCCCCGACAAATTCGAGTTACCGATGTTTGACTGTATTTCATTCTTTTAATTTAGTTCTAGAATTTGGACAATATAATTCTTGCACCTACTGATACCTCTGACAAAGTAAAAATTGTATCTTCAATCTGACTCTTTTCCTGCTTTTTACAACTTTTAGTAGGCCTACCTGATTTTTGGCAAAATAATTTTTGAGCAGATTGCACTAAAAATTCAACTGCTACTTAATTTTGGGCACTGTGAACACCTGGCCGACAAATCATTTGTTGACATGAAGATTCACAAACTCTGCCCACTTCTCGAAATGAGTTGAGTTTTTTTGCTTTAATTAGAAAGATCCAAATCTTTGAAAAATTGTTTCTACTGCGGAAGTTCTGAGTGCAAATGTGATGGTAACACGGACATTGACAATTTATCGTCATCAGGAACTGCTAATTCTAAAACAGACACAAGGGAGCATGGTTTGTCACTCATTTCTCTGCTTGGACGGTCTAAAAAAGCTACCGCATACCCGTCATGTTGTATGAGTAGGTACAAAATTAACTAAGATTCATTGAAGGTACAATTTTTACTTTGTGATTTCAGTAGCATTATATGCACAAGAATTATTTTGTCAAAATTCTAGTACTAAATGTTGAAAAAATAGTGGGAAAAGATTCATAATGAAAGAACAATATCTCTCTTTTCAGGATGAGGGATCTCTAGAGCTGGAACATTAACCCTTCCTTCTTCAACCCGGGCGCTGACGTAAGGGCAAGGGAGGGAACACAGAGTCAAGGATTCCAAGCGGTGCCCATTGGAGGATCCGTTTGGTTCAGTTCGGTTATGTTTTTGGCGGGTTCGCTCGGTTTGTGCCACACTGGTAGCCTTCTCCCTCTGTGGAGGAAAATCTGGCTAGCCCTGGTGAACAAACCGAACGGAACGGAACGGAACTTGCCAGTGGGCGCCGGGGATTGGATGTACGCCACCACCACTCTGTATTTGACAGTGGGATACAGACGGCAGTTCAACAAGTGCGAGCCCCGAGGAACAGACGGAACGACTGGGCTGGGGAAATGTTTTAGGCACTTTGTACAAATTGATTCTGTTAGAATACTGCCTGGCTTTACCTTTATAAGAATAATGCCGAAAGAAACAAAAACAAAAACAACGGTTTGCTGATGACAAGTGACCCACAAAGTAACCTTTTATTATTGAAAAGACTGAGATCAGTGTTCCGAGCTTGCTTTTGAACATTTTAAAATCAGAACAGCGATTTTTACATTAATTTTTATTTTGAGAGGGG